AGGTGGGGTGGGGGCGGGGCTAAGGAATTCCAGGTGAAAGAATCACCTGGTCAGCAGCCTACAGTGGAACCAGGGATAAGGTGGGACTGGACACAGCCGGGTGTCCTCAGAGGAAAACCACCCCTACTAATAGCGTCCAGGCCCCCTCCACCAAGGCCCACATCCTCAGGAATGCTTCATAAATAAAATCAGTACCAAGGATAATAAATCAGAACATCTGAGTATAGTGGGCAGCTCCAGCTACAATCCTACAGGGGGAGGGGAAGGCAGGGGGAGAAGGAGGGCTGGCCTCCTGAGCCACGGCCCAGGCCAGCAAGGAGACCGTGGTCTCCTGGAATGTTCTTGTGTCTCCTCTCCACTCCACCCTGGGACTCTGTGAAAACTACGTGCGAGCTAAGGACAGGCCCGGGGCTTAGAACACTAACTACCCAGCTAACCTGGACTACGCCCTACACAGCAGGGACTGGGTAATGAGGGGTGGTGGACTGCTGGGTGCCTCCCAGGGGAGGTGGCAGAAATGTGCTTCTATAAAGAGGGGCCAGCCCGAGTCCTCCCCAGCATGCAAAAGGGCTTCCGTGGGCCCCGGGGAGGGCTGGGCCAGGAAGGCAGCTACCCAGGCCCTACTCAAGAAGGAATCTCACGGTTCTTTGACTCATACCTCCTCTCTTTCTCTCCTTGAGCCAAGGTAATTGAGGCCAGGGCAGTGGGTGCTGCCCTTAATACACATGGTTTGTTTAAAAACACTAAAGTAGGGGAGATCTGTGGCCTCTCCAGGCCCCTAGCCTGGAGGCAAAGGGATAGGCAAGATGACTTTTGACCTCATCCAACAAGAAGGGATTCTCCTATTTGGGAGACCCTCACCTTGGCACCACCAATCCCAACCCCAGCTTTCCTTAGATTCCCTCTCCAATCCAACACCCCAAAATGCAGAGACTGTGAGCCCTCTGGGCGTGGGGTTCTGAGAAATGAAGGTCCCACAGCTCCTCCCCCAAAACCCAGATGACAAAGTTCCTTCCAGTCCCACAGTTTCCACAGCAACTTGTTTCAATCGCACAGAGCAAGGCACCCCAGGGGGTCTGTGCCAGGCCCTGGGCACCTCCTCCCTTCCTTTGGTCCCTGCTGGACCCCAATTCCACTGGAAGAGAGGCAGGCAGGAGGGGACAGACAGATGGACTTGGACAGGCTGCGGCAAAGCTTCTTCCACGGGCAGGCGGAGGGAGGCCGGAGCTCCTCTTTAAGCGGGGGGCTCAGGGCCCCTCGGAGCTGGCTCCGGATCCTTGCAAAGCTGCCCCATCAGCTTTGGGGCAGGTGTAGCTGCCTGAACCCGGTGCCGCAGGAAAGACACTTGCTGGTAGTTGGCACCATGGAGATGGCTGCTGGGTTCTGGACTTGGCTCCGGGGAGCGAGCTTCCGAGGACGCAAAGAGGGGAGCAGTCAGATAGTGTCTGGGGCAGGAGAGTGGTTTGCTCTGCCACCTCAGTCTTCCCTTCTTCGGATTGCAGCCACATCCACCAGGTCAAGAACCGGCCAAGTCAAAAGTGCAGCCAATCCCACTGGGAAAGGAAAGGTCTCAGGGGATAGGAGGCAAAGAAGGGTGAGGAGGGTCCAAGGTGGGTAGGTCTCCCTATTCTGCTTCCCCACTGTGGGGGAGAACCCCGTCCTCCTCTGTTCAAGATGCCCCTGGGCCTGGGGTCCCAGGTCGGGGCTGGGTGGTCTCCAGGCCATCTCAGGGAGCCCCTCCCCGTTCCTGGCACTAAGATTGCTCACTGCAGGGCCCCACGGTGCTCTCGAGGGACAACTGGGATGCCTGCCGGAGCAGGGGGCCTGTGGCTGGGTCCACCATGGAGGAGGTGGGGAAGAGCTTGTACCAGCCCACGGCCAGGGTGGTCAAGTCCAGTTCCTCCAGCAGCACTCGGGCCACACCCATGAACTGCTTCCGCTCCATCCGTCCATAGTTACCCCACACGATCACCTGTGGGGCAAGAGATACAATGGTTCCCATCATCCAATCCACTCACGGGTCCATAGACAGACCCTGGGGTAACCCTTATGCCCAATTCACCTCCGAGTCCTGTGGATTCAACCACCTTACAATTGCTCAACCTTAAAATCCCTCAAGTTCACCCTATTATCCTGACGCCAGTACTTCAATCATTGTTCGCCTAGATGGCTTTCTGCCTCCAGTCTTGCCCTCTGTGTTCCATTCATGCTCTATATGAGTCCAAGTCAAGGGCTGACCCTACATCCTGAGTTCCCTCCCTGCTTCCCCCGTGGGCCCTCTGCTTCCATAGCCCCAGAACCCTCCTTGTGAAACAAAGTTTTAAAAAGTGGCCGGTACATGCACGGTATCTGGATGACCTTCTGGTTGTTTTAAATTGTATTTGAAGGGTTTTTGCAGACTTTTTTGTTGTTGTTAATTCTCACCTAGGGATATTTTTTTCCATGGATTTTTTTTTTTTTTTAGAGAGAGTCTAAGGGGGGTTAGGGTCAATTGGTTGCCTCCTGCATGTGCCATGTGTTCCAACCCAGAGAGAGAAACATCAATTGGTTGCCTCCTGCATGTGCCATGTGTCCCAACCCAGGCTGGGGATCAAACCTGCAACCTAGGTAGGTGCCCTTGACCTGCCCTTGACCGGAAATTGAACCTGCGACCCTTCAGTGCTAGGGCTGATGCTCTAACACTGAGCTACACCAACCAAGGCTTTGCTAAAAGGATCAAACCTGCAACCTAGGTATGTGCCCTTGACCTGCCCTTGACCGGAAATCGAACCTGCGACCCTTCAGTGCTAGGGCTGATGCTCTTAACACTGAGCTACACCAACCAAGGCTTTGCTAACATTTTTGACAGGGATCATCCTTAGCCATGCACACATGGGCTTCACAGTTGAAGGGCGTGTCCCACGAAAGAAGACTTACCTTACTATAAGTGAGAAATGTTTTCTCTCCTATCCATTCCATTGAAAAACAAAACACAAAACTGTTGAGACCAGCTAAATTGAGTTCACAATTCACTGATGGATCTCAACCCACAGGTTGAAAACTCTGTCCTGGACAGGACCTGGGCTTCTCAGCTTAGCAAAGTCCCACTGTCTTGGCAATTTGTAACCTTGGCCCCATCCTCATTTGCTTTGCCTGCCCAGGTGAGGAGCAAGAAATCAGGTACAAGCCACACATGCCCAAAGACAGCACCAAGAGGACAGGCACATGGCTTCTGCAGGCGTCTCACCTGGGCCCTGCCTGTACCCACAATGGGCAGCTGTTTCTTGCTCCAGGTTTCAGTCACCACTAGGATTCTCCTTATGGCCAGAGGGCCCAACACATGTCGGAATACTCAAAAGGCTCCCAGTTTATTATCGCTGTGCTTCAGGCCACGCCCTGGCTTCCAGAGGTTGATGATGATGATATAATAATGATGATTATGGTGAGAAAGGACACATATGTAATACCCTTTGTAATACTTTAAGCAATAAAAAATAAATAAATAAAAAATAAAATAAAAATAATGATGATTATGATGATGGGAGCCATTTGTAGAGCACTTATGATAGGCCAAACTTGCAAATACTTTTCTTACACAAAGCACACATTTCACTGTTACTGTCACTATTATTAGTAGGTACTACTAATGTCCCCATTTTGCAGATGAAGAACCTGAGGCTCAAAGAAACTTGTGCAAAGTTGCACAGCAAGTTGTGGAGCTCTGATCAACCACAGCACTCTACCTCCTCCAGGTGAGGCCCTCCCCAGGGGCACCTCCCTCTCCCTCTAATACTGTGCAGGTGTGTGCGCGCACACACACACACACACACACACATACACCCCTCACCTGCAGGACTTTGCCCTGGGGACTCTCAGGAAACAGCAGCACCTGGTTATACAGTGGGTCCAATGACTTGCGAGCAACTTTGGTCTTCTTCTTGGCAATGCAGACGCCATTCTCCAGCAGGTAGGCCTTGATATAGGCCGCTGGGAACAGAGGCCAGCAGGGTAAGTTGGAGTGTGGGCCTCCAATGGTGGGCACAAGGCACAGCAGGGGGAGGCTGCCCACCACCAATGGGGATCAGAGTGCCCCCTTGGGGCCGTGGGAGGAGACAATAGGACCAAGCCTGGTGGTAGGTGTGGGTGGTAGGGTGGTGGGGCCTATTCCACCCCCGCAGGAGGTCCCCTACCTTCCCTTGCTCACTCTGTACTCACCTGTTTCCTTTCTCTGTCACTGACTCACCCTCTCCTTCCCTGGCTTATACATTCATTGCTACCCATTCACTGAACAAATGTTTTCTGATCTCCCCCTGAGTGCCAAGCACCCTACCAGGCACCAGGGTATAATCATAAGCAGGAAAGACCTGGCTCCAGAGGCTGGTGTGAGCTCATCCTGACCAATCCTTACCTTGGTCAGTAGGGGTGCTGACAAGGTCAGCCAAGAAGGTCAGCTGACAATCTCAACTGAGTCCCCAGAACAAACCCTGAGTCACCAGTTCTTTGTGAGTCACTACAGTTGAGACAAAGGAGTCCTCCACAGTGGGGCTCAATATTCTCTCTTCTACACTCACATATCCCTCCAGACATACTCCCCAACCTCCACCCCACCTTGAAGTGGGGAGGGCACACCACACCTGGCAGTGTCTTGGAGCCTGGCTTGGCCGTCAGTCCCCGCGCCTGGATGATGTCCACTTCGAGCTGACCATTCCGCTCCTGCAAGCCAATCTCCACGTCCCCTGCAAGAGGCCTCAACAGATGAGACTGGGAAGTGGCTTCAAAGTTCAATCAAGGACTCAGACCTTCCTATCGGCTTAGGGTTAAATCCCCTTCTTCTGCTCCCAGCCCCAAATTACTCCCACACCACATGCCCAGGCTCCAGCAAATGCAGCCAACACAGAGGGGAAGAAGGGGTGACGCAAGCCTTCCCATGGGACCCCCCCTTAGGAACAGATCTTGGGGCACTTACCCATCGGTGTGGTGGCCAGGGTCTGGCGGCCCACAAACTGCGCTGGCCCCATGCTGCCCAGGAAGTCACTGAACTGTGCATCCGATGCCAGGCAGACTCCCCCGTAGTTAAGGCTGTAAAAAGAAAGGGTGAGATAAAAACAATTGTTCCCAGGGGCCAACCAAGGACTCAGATGACTCAGGTCGTCAACTCTAGAATGTCCCTCATGCCACGGTGATTCCGTCCACATCCATCACCCGCCTCAGGCAGACACATGCCCTGCCTCTCCCTCCCTTCTATCTCCGTGGCCCTAAACTCTCCTGTACCATATCCCTATCTCTCCTCGCCCAGCCTTAGGTTCCACCTCCATGAAATGGGTAAGGTGATACCTGCCTCTTGAGGTGGTTGTAGGCATGTGGGGAGATGATGCTTGTTGGTGCCTGGCTCTTATGGTTTAATGATACTCAGCGTGGTCCAGGGACCAGCATCACCTGAGGGCTCATTAGAAACGGAACTGGGCCCCTCTCCACCCCCCGCTGCTGAAGCAGAACCTGCCTTTTCACATGATCCCACAAGAGTCATTCACACCTGACAGTTCAAGATCCATGGGACCAGTGGCTGGACCTTGGAGGTCCTGCATTCGTTGCTGCTGTAGCTGCCCAATGTTTATCCTGTTCCTTTGGGAACAAGATCTCAAATCTCCTTTGGGGAGCCCCCTCCCCGAGGTATTGATTCCCACGGAGTGGAGCAGATCTGGCTCCAGAGGCTGGTGTGAGCTCATCCTGACCAATCCCTCCCTTGGTCAGTGACTGGCCCAAAGACAGGTGCGTGGCCAATTCGGCCCACAAGAATCTGGTTGGGAAGCTTTCTTTGAACTGTAGGGAGTGAGCAGCTCTCTTTTCCCACCAGACTTGAACCTGAACCGGACTGGAGCCTCTGGCAGCTCTCTTGCTACCACCTGGTGTTCATGAATGAAGCCATCAAACTGGTGGTACTGCATGAGCTCCTGGATCAAGCTCTGCCTGAAGCAAAAACTACATCATTTCTTTTTTAGTTACACAAATCAATAGTAATAACAACAACAATTATAATAATGTCCTTTGCTTAAGCCTATTTTCGTTAATTTTCTCTGAAAGGGGAATAATAAAATTCCCATCTCCTAGGTCTGAGCCATGTGAATGGCCTATCCTCGCAAAGGGCCTCAAACTACTAGCAACCTAGTCCTGGCTGCTCAGCTCTTCCTCAACCAGGTGAGACACCCAGCATCATTCTAATAAATTCGGTTTTTACTTAAGTTATCGGCAGAGTTGCTGTAGGATAAGAATTTCACATTTTAGCCTGTATGCTTCTCATTTTCATATATTTATATATGTATATATGTTTATATTGACTTTTAGAGAGAGGAAGGGAAAGGAATAGAGAGATAGAAACACTGATGAAACATCGATAGGCTGCCTCCTGCACGCCCCCTACTGTGGATCGAGCCCACAACCTGGGCATGTGCCCTGACTGGGAATTGAACCAGTGACCTCTTAGTTCCTCAGTCGATGCTTAACCACTGAATCACAATGGCCGGGCATCATTTTCATGATTTCCTACCACCCCTTACCCCTATCCAGGCCGTAGCCAGGAAATAAGACAGTCAGATTCCTGGCTTTTGAGCTTCAAATCTAAGAAGAAACAGACTTAGAAGGATAGGTGCAAAACTAGGCTGCCCTGCCTCCAAATAAACAAGCAAACAAAAAACCCCAGCCTGGGAGAGCAGAGGAGGTCAGGGTGGGAGGGGAAGGGCCAGAGAAGCTGGAGGATCCTGGAGGAAGGCTGGGTCCCTGAGCTGGGCTGGCGATGCTGAGGGATGGCAGGGAACCCCAGCTGGGTCTGGGGATCTGAAAGCAGAGAGGACTGTGGCCATCCTCCTTACTGGGTGGGGCTGAGCAAAAGGCACGATGCTTTGCAGCAATGGCTGCCAGGTATCCTGTGAAGTGAAGCTGTGAGACCCTCCATGCCTCCGAGTGGAGCACCTGTTCCCGCTGCATCAAGAGAAGACCAGACAGAGTGGCATTTGAATCCAAGCAGTCGGGCTGCTGAATCTCTTAGCTCAACAATTATGCAACAGCATTACAGAGAAAGTACGGGAAAAATAACTTAAATATATGGGCATAGAAATGAGTACCTATTATTCTTGCAAACCCAGAGACCCTTCATGAACAGCACCACAGCGAAGACCCAGGCTCTCTCACTCCACACCTGTCTCTTTTCCACCCCAACCTCCTGGCCATCTGAGGAAGGGTCTGGGGGCTCCAAAGGCCTGGAAAAAGTCAGTGCCTCTTAAATTCCAAGTCACTGAAGGGGCCCAGCCTCCCAAGCGGAGCCTGAAATTGAAAGTTTCCTCCAACATCGTCATTGTCGGCTCCTCGGTTCCTGGTGAGATTGTGAGCAGACAATGGGGAACTGGCAGCCCTGGTAATTAGCAGTAATTGTTTATAATATCTGGGCGGCTGCCTGATTTCCCATCCCAGGGTGCCTCGCCGGCTGCCAAGGAACCAAGCAGAAGCCCCAGAAACCCTGAACGGGTTTGAACAGGTTATCACATCCTCCATGGGCCTGGAGGAAGGAAGAATATAGAGGTGGCAGGTCCCTGCTGGCCAGAGGGCCAGCTGCATTGGAGACCCCACTCCACCTTGAGGTCTTCCAGGAGTAGGACGGAAGGCAGTGGATGCAAAGTCAGACTTGCTCCTACTCCTCCCAGCCAACTGCTGGTGTGTCTGCACTTGAATCTTCTTATCTGCAAACAAGACCACACCTACCTCATGGACAGTGCGCAGCCATTCCATGGGTGAGTGCCGAAAATGTCTGCTCATTGGGTCCACTTGCAAAGAGCTTGTTGAATTATTACCACATACATGCTACTACATAGACTATGCCTGGTATGCAGTAGGAATTCAATAAATGTTCACTGCTGCATCCTTTAGCTGGCCCCAAACTGGGAAAATACAGTAGTTAAGACTGGACTTGGACATAATATAGACCCTGAATTCCAGGGCTGTGCACCCTCTCTGAGCTGTATACAATGGGAATAAGTTGTAATCGCCTTGCTGAGTTGTTGGGGAGAGGCAGTGAGATAATGCAGGCAAGGTGCTTGGCCCAGGACCTGGCAAATGGAATAAAGGATTGAGATACTGTGGCCTGCTACCCAGGTGGGAAGAGCCTCATCTCCCTCTTTGGCATTTTCCTGGCATTTCTGATTCCAGATCTGTTAGGAGGTGCAACATCTGGATGCCTGAGACCAAGCCCGGGCCTGGGGTGGGGCGCACGGGGGCTGCAGCAGGTGGTCCTCCCAGAGGCACCTGGCACACAGAGGCCTGAAACAGGATTGCAACCCATTCTCTACTGGCGTTTTATCTTGTGTTAATGGTGAAATGAGATTATCTGCATTTCAAATCCTGTTAGTTTTGTTTGAGGAGCTGAAACCCATTTGTCTTTTATTATTAATCCTCGACCTCTGTTTGGCCCTGGATTTTCCATGCTCTCCATGGTTAAAGAGGTAATTGAGTTATTGGGGGTTTGACTCTCTTCCAGATAGATCACCTGTCCCAGTTGCATCCGAAATTAAAAGGCTGCACAGCCTTCCTGGTTCGGAAAGGATTGGGCGGTTTATGAGCTCTCTGTCCATCCATTCACCACCTGCCTCACACACCCACTGTCCATCCACCTTCCCACAGGCTTGCTGAGCCTATCATGATGTCAGTTCTGCAATAACACGAAATATTTATTCCTAAACATTCTGTGCATGCACAATCCTACAATAAAAATCACAGAGCTTATGGGGAAAGTGGGGTTATGGCACAACACCCAAATACTATGTCAGTATCAGATCCAGAAAAAAGAAAGACAGGAACATAGTAAAAATGGTAGCACGGTCTTGCACATGTTGAATGGTTAAGAAATGCAGAAATACTACAATAAATATGCTGCTTTACTTTGAAGATGCCCTGAAGTTTGCTTGTGGAAGTGAGTGTGAGAAGGATTGCAGCCTGGGAGATGGTGTGAAGGGGAAGGAAGGCTGCAGAAATGGACAGAAACACCGGGTGTGGATAGGATGACACATGGGAGCTGAGGGAGCAGGTTATGTTTGAGGGGTGTGTGTGTTTTGTGTTTTCCTACTTGGATGCAAATTTTCTGTGTTCACCTACTGTTCCTTGTGGATGAAATCGTACCTGAGCAAAGGCAAAATGTGTGCTATGCTAAATTATTCCCTAATATTTCAATCGTGTTGGAACAAATTCACATTTTCAAAACAAGCGATGCAGCAGAACTGATTACAGGCCAGGATACACAGCTTCACACAATCCTGACTGCGGCTTCTCCAGCATTTAAGACGATTCCAAACCTGCCTGTTCCCTCCACTCCCCACCCCCTGCCTGCTATGAGAGTATGGCTCATGGGCATGAAGCCAGGGATTTTATTTATTTTAATTTATTAAAACATTGTCCTGAGCCAAGGACAGATAGTACTAGGTTAGCAACATTAACGTGTTTCATTCTCATTTAACAACTCAATGAAAGTTAGGTACACATTACCAATAACCCTTTTACAGATGGGAAAAATCAAGTAACCCAACCAAGGGCTGTGGCGAGTAAGTAGTAGACCCAGGGTGTGAACCCTGGGAGTCTGGTCTAGAGTTCATCTTTTTGTTGTTGTCGTTAATCCTCACCCGAGGATATTTTTCCATTGATTTTTAGAGGGACTGGAAGGCAGAGGCAGAGACATAGAGAGAGAAACATTGATGTGAAAGAGACACATCAACTGTCTGCCTCCTGCACATGCCCGACCAAGGTTGAGCCTGCATCCGAGGTATGTGCCCTTAACTGGAATTGAACCCAGGACCCTTCAGTCCGCAGGCTGATGCTCTACCCACTGAGCCAAACCGGCTAGGGCTAGAGTTCATCTTCTTGACCAGTCTGCTATACTGTCTCTATGTGCCCTAAGGGGACAGAGCCTTGCCCAGAGCAGAGTACAGGGATCTGCAGTCCAAACTTTGGGGTCAGGCAGGCCTGGATTTGAATCTTGACTCCCCGCTCACTAGTTGTTAAGGCACACCTCTCAGAGCCTGGGTTTCCTTTTTGGTGAAGTA